CAAATGAAGCTAAAGCAGTGCCCAGAGGTAAATTTATAGCAGTAAACACCTATATTAAAAAAGAAGATCTCAAATCAATAACTTAACTTTCAACCTTAAGAAACTAGAAAATAAGAGAAATTAAACAAAAGGCAAACAGAGGAAAAGAAATTATAGTGGAAATAAATTATCTTATCTTTTCTTTCTCTGATATAAATTATCTTATCTTTTCTTTTCACTGGTTCAACAAAATTGATAAACCTTTAGCTAGACTGACCAATGATAAAAATAGGAGACTCAAATTCCTAAAATCAGGAAGTTTTAAAAAGATCTCCTATATATCCAGACATATTAAAAAATAAAAATTAATATAATCTTTTAATATTTATTTTAGAGACAGCATGAGTGCGAGGGGCAGACTAGAGGGAGAATCTCACACAGACTCTGCTCTGAGTGCAAAACCCAATGTGGGGCTAGATCTCAGAACCCTGAAATGATGACCTGAGCCAAAACCAAGAGTCAGACACTCAACTGACTGTGCCACCCAGGCACCCAAATTAAAATAATTTTTAAAAACTTTTAAAAAGGACAACACTACCAACTTTACATGTATAAAAAGATTATAAAGGAATACTATGAACAATTGAATGCCAAAAAATTAGATAATCGTATGCTTAGACACAAACAATTGAAACTAACTCAAGAAGAAATAGAACATCTAAATAGACATATAACCAATAAGGAGACTGAATTAGTAATCAAAAACTTATCACAAAGAAAAGGCCAGGCCCAAATGTCTTCACTGGTGAATTCGACCAAGCATTTGGAGAGGAATCAACACCAATCTTTCCCAAACTCCTCCAAAATATAGAAAAGAAGGAAACACTTCCCAACTCATTTTGTAAGGCCAATATTATCCTGATACCAAAACTAAAGATATGCAGAAAAAAAAAAAAACTACAGACCAATATCCATTCTGAATATATAGACACCAAAATACTAGCAAACAGAATTCAGCAACAGGTAAGAAGGATTATATACCATGACAAAGTAAAATTTATCACAGGAACAGCAAGGTTGATTTGACTTACAAAAATCAATCAATACAATATAATACACTGTAGTAGAATAAAGGACAAAACCACATGACCATCTCTATAGATGCAGGAAAAAAATCCTTTGAAAATATTCAATGTCTTTCATGATAAAAACACTCAAAAACAGAAGAGAATGTCCTCAACTTGAAAAACAGCATCTATGAAAAAACACAGAGCTTACATTATACTTAATGGTGAAGGTCTGAATGTTTTTTCCCTGCAATCAAAACAAGATGAGGATGTCCTCTCTCATCAGTTCTATTCAACATTTTACTGGAGGTTCCTGCGAGGGTAATTAGGCAAGAAAAAAAGAAAAGAAAACATATCCAAATTGGAAAAGAAGTAAAGCAGAAGATGACATGATCTTGTATATAGAAAACCCTAAGGAATAAACACACACACACACACACACACACACACACTTAGAATAAACAAGTTGAGGAAGGTTTCCATATAGAAGATCAATTTACAAAATAAATTCTATTTCTATACACTGGCAATGAACAATTCAAAGTGAATTAAGAAAACTCAATTTCCAATAGCATAAAAAATTAAGATACTTAAGAATAAATTGAACAAAAAAGTGTAAAACTTACACTTTGAAAGCTATAAAGCATTGTTGAAAGAAATTAAAGATCTAAACAAATGGAAAACTATCTCATGTTCATGGATCAAAAGATGTAATATTATTAAGATACCAATATTCCCCAAATTGATCTACAGATTTGGTGCAATCCGTATCAGAGTCTCAGCTGGCTTCTTTGTAGAAATTGATAAGCTGACCCTAAAATTCAAATGGAATTGCAAGGAATCAAAAACAATCTTGAAAAGGAAGAACAAAGTGGGAGGACTCACGCTTCCCAATTTCAAAACTTAGTACAAAGCAGAAGTAATCAAGATAGTACTGGCTTAAGGATAGATATCTAGATGAATGGAATACAATTGAGTGCAAAAATAAACATATTTATGGTCAACTGATTTTGAACAAGAGTACCAAGACCATTCATGGGGGAAAGAATAGTCTTTTCAATAAATGCTGCTGGGACAACTGGATAACCCCATGCAAAAAAAAAATAGAAGCTGGACCCCTTTCATGCCATATACAAAAATTAACCCAAAATGGATCACAGACCTAACCATAAGGGTTATAATTATTTATATATAATTAAAATATATATATAATTTAAAAATATATATAAAATATATATATGAACATTTATCCAGAATATATTTTTAAAACTCTTAAAAGTAAAGAACAAAAAGACAACCAATTTCAAAACAGGCAAACAATCTGAAGACATTTCTCCAAAGGTAATACACAAATGGCTAATAAGTACATGAATGATTGCTCAAAAACATCTGTCATCAGGGAAACTTATGTCAAACCTACAATGAGATACCACAGCACACTATTTAATCAAATAGGCAATAACAAGAGTTGGTGAGGATATGGAGAAAATGGAACCCTCCTACATTGCTGGTAAGAATGTAAAATGGTGCAGCATCTTTAGAAAATTTGGAAGTTACTCAAAGTTAAATAGAGAGTTATCATATGGCCAATTAATTCTACGCCTAGGTGTATACCCAAGAGATTTGAAAACATAAGTCCACACAAAAAATGTATATGACTCTCATGGTTCATCTCCCCTCCTGCTATCTTCTTCTTCTTCTTTTTTTTTTTTTAACATATATTATTTGTTTCAGAGGTATGGTGATTAACATAATAAAAAAAAAAGTACAAAGGCACACTGAGTAGAAGCAATTTATAATACATCTATTAAAAAAAGGGCTCATATCCAGGGCGCCTGGGTGGCTCAGATGGTTAAGCGTCTGCCTTCGGCTCAGGTCATGATCCCAGAGTCCTGGGATCGAGGTCCGCATCGGGCTCCCTGCTCCTTGGGAGCCTGTTTCTCCCTCTGCCTCTCTCTCTCTCTCTCTGTCTCTCTGTCTCTCATGAATAAATAAAAATAAAAAATCTTTTAAAAAAATAAATAAAAAAATGCTTTAAAAAAAAAAAGGCTCATATCCAAAATATATTTTTAAATTTCTACAAATAAAAAAGGGCAAAAGACAAAAAAAAAATGTATATGACTGTTAATGGAAGCATTATTCATTATAGCTTAAAAGTAAAACAACCCAAGGCGCCTGGGTGGCTCAGTTGGTTGGGCGATTGCCTTCGGCTCAGGTCATGGTCCTGGAGTCTGGGGATCGAGTCCCACATCAGGCTCCCTGCTCAGCAGGGAGTCTGCTTGTCCCTCTGACCCTCCTCCCTCTCATGCTCTATCTCATTCTCTCTCTCAAATAAATAAATAAAATCTTTAAAAAAAAAAAGTGAAACAACCCAAATGTCTATCAATGGATGAATAGATAAACAAAATGTGGTATATCAATACAATGGAATATTATTTGGTCATAAAAAAGAATGAAGTTCTGATCCATGCTACAACATGGATGAACCTTGAAAACATTATGCTAAATGAAAGAAGCCAGACACAAAAGGCCATATATTGTATGATTCTATTTATATGATATGTCCAGAATAGTCAAATCTATAGAGACTAGATTAGTGGCTAGAGGGAGGATAAATGGGGAATGACTGCTAAGGGGCATGAGGTTTCCTTTGGGGGTGATGAAATGTTCTAAAATGAGATGCACAACTGTGAATATTACTAAAAACCACTGAACTGTACACTTTCAATGGGTGAATTTTATGTTATGTGAATTATATCTCAATAAAGTGATTTTTTAAAAACAAGGTTATAAAATGGGGATTAATAAATATAATCACATACATATATACTGATTCTACTAATTGTATGTCAATACTAAAAATTTAATGAAATCCTATTCTTACTCAGTGGTTCTGAGTCTATAAGATTCTCTGGCAGTGGAAGAAAAAGACCTTGAGTAAGAAGGAATGAATTCTTCTATCCTAGAAGCCAGAGACCCTTTATCTTTTCTAGGTAGAATATGCTCCATTGAAAGATCTGTGTCATTAATCTCTTGACCACTTGTTGAGGAGCTTCATGGTAACAGTCGATTTTTCAGCAAGAAATGTAGCTCATGACGAAGGCCATCTTCTCTCTGCAAATCTGACACAGGGACCTCCTGCCCTCCCCTCCACCAGCAGAATAACTTGCAGCCCTATGGTCCCTTAAATAAAGAAAAAAAAGAGCCTCTTCCTTCATCATTCAGTAGAACCTCCCTGTTCCCTTGGTAACTTCCCAGCTCAACATACATGGCTGGCATTCTCACTCCCATGCCAACCTCACCTTCCTGGCAACAGTGACAAGTTCTGCCATTTAGTGTTCCATTTGGGATTGAATTAAGACAAAGGCCATTAAAAATGACATCAAAGGTGGAAGAAACAGTCCACAAAACAGGAGTAGGTTGGCTAGGGTGGTTTGTAGGCTTCACAACAAAGGTAGACAAATAACTTTGTGGAGTTCTGAGGGAACATACAAGTCAAAAGGGTATCAAGGGAAAATTAAAAGAAATCTTCACTTTTGTCTCATTGGTTTTATATTAAAGGTCCTTCAGCACAACCCTCTATTTTATTTTTTTAAAGATTTCATTTATTTATTTGACACAGAGAGAGAGACAGCGAGAGAGCGAACACAAGCGGGGGGCGGGGGGGGTGGGAGAGGGAGAAGCAGGCTTCCCACTGAGCAGGAAGCCCAACGTGGGGCTCAATCCCAGGACCCTGGGATCATGACCTGAGCCAAAGGCAGATGCTTAATGACTGAGCCACCCAGGTGCCCCAGTACAACCTTTTAAATCACATTTCCTAGATTGAACAAAATACACTTTCACATGCACCCTTCCAATTTTATATTCCAAACTTTGTCCTTCTAATTCCTACAAAATAAACTAGACAGACAGGCAAATACTGAATCAGAGATCACATTTTTATATAGAACTTACCACTCTCTTTTCCCTGAAATCAATGCCCACTGTCGTGATAAATTTGGAGTTAAATTTACCATCTGTGTACTGGTAAAGTACACTGGTCTTCCCTACTCCAGAGTCTCCCAAAGCTAAAAACTTGATGAGGTAATCATAGTCTCCATCAGACATAATGAAGAACTCAGTGGTTCACCTGTAAAATACAAACAAATGCATATTTACTAAAAAGCTATCGGGAAATATTAGAATCTTCCATGAATAAAGTGAGTTATTTTAATATCCAGTTCAATAAGTACTACATGATACCTATATGCCTAAGGGTTCTGTGAAGAGGATTAGATAGTATTCACTGCCCCCAAGGACCTAATAATTTGCTAGATGAGATGTTACTAATAAATAACGGCTTAATTTAAATTTAATGTGCATATTATAGTACCATTAAGACAAAAATTCCAAGTCACAGTAAAAATTAAGAAGACAACCAGCACTAAGTCTTACATGCAGATCACATAGAACAAAAATTTTGAAAAGAAAGAAGGAGAATGTTAGAGGAATAATAATAATTCTTAGAGTGCAAGTGGTTCCAACTTCCCCCTTCTTTTTCAAAGTCTCCTGGTGCCCTTTTCATGATTTGTTTTTATTCTCTAAATAGATTCCAGCTTCTCAAAATATCAGTCCAACTGAAAATGTTGTCTGTCTCCTGGGAAGACTTACTTCGTTTTATGCTCCCATTTCTGATACCAATAAACCCTCCAGAAAATCAGAAAAATAATCAGTTCTCCCACTACCACTGACAACTCCACATGCCCTTCAAATGCATATTTACCTATCCACATACACATCAGATGCCCTACATTAGATGCTGATTTTCCTCTCAGTGTCTATTTTCACTAAGCCTCACATTGAGAAAGTTTACTACAATTCTCAATGCTTCCTATAAGATTATTTCTATAGATCCATAAAATTAATAAAAGCTCAAGCAAGGACATTTATTGATTTTCAAGTTTTCTTCCCCCCACCCCATCCTCAATTTGGTGACTCACCTTATGTTCAAAATTCCTGAATGCTGACCCCCAAGAGCCACTGCAATTTACTTCCTCATAGTGCCTTAGTAAAGATCTGGGACCTCATATTCAGATATGGCTGGTCAGCTGATAAGGGCAGAGACTCCACAAACATTCATAATTCTATTTGCACACTATAAAGAATGACACTTCACAGATGATGGCTTCCCTACATTATAGCTTCTGTATTCACAGGTTTAGGTTGCAGTATTAATGGTATATGACAGAATTCCTCTCCAGAAGCGGACCAATAGGGTACAAATAAATATTCTAGTACGTCATATCATAGGATCTCATTTGGCTCCAAGTTGTTCATTAATTAGAGCTAAGAATTGAAAAGCAGGTCCAGATAACGTTTAATCATTTTGGAGGTTCCCCTCAAAATGAATGAGGAAGCAGAAAGCAACTCCAAATTCTGCAATGAGAATGATACAACACTTACTTCCTCTTTACTTTTAATTTGAACAAAGGGTGGTCATTCCTATGTCTATGTTTTTATATCATTTAAGGTACAGGAGAAAATGATGTCTCCAATGGCATCACTTTTCTAGAATTCTCTAAATCCACTTGAATGGAATTCAAAGACAGATGAAACTATATCTGCTGCACCAAAATTTTACGTTTAGTTATCATGGGAGAAGAATCACACATATAAATCTAAAAATGCTCTTTGTGGGTTTTTCTATTCATATTGACAGCGATACATAACAGTTTGTTCCCAAACCAAGCCTTCATAAAGGAAGTATTAAACCAAATACCACAACTGAAGGTATATAAATTTCACTATCAATATTAATCATAGTTTGCATTCTTCAGATCGCACCTCTAGGCAATTTTCTGCCTTGTTAATCTGAAAATAATTGTCCAGACCTTTCACTCTCTGGGTTCAGTTTTCTTTTTTTTTTTTTTTTTTTTAAAGATTTTATTTATTTATTTGAGAGAGAGAGAATGAGTGAGAGAGAGCACAAGAGGGAAGAGGGTCAGAGGGAGAAGCAGACTCCCTGCTGAGCAGGGAGCCTGATGTGGGACTCGATCCTGGGACTCCAGGACTATGACCTGAGCCGAAGGCAGTCACTTAACCAACTGAGCCACTCAGGCACCCTGGGTTCAGTTTTCCAAAGGATGAAATAGAACCCAGAGAGGTTAACTCATTTGCACAGTCTAGAATATAAATCCCTTAATTCCAAGTTCAATGTCCAGTCTACCTCCAAGCTTATTGTCTGTTACTCAAACTTCCACAAATGCATGTTGGGCTTAAAGGTGACCAGGTATGGTATCATATAAGGTAGCCTAATAGGAAACACATGACCTCCGAAGTCAAGCTGACCTGGGCTAAATTCCATGTCTCCCACATGCCTCAAATGTCTCTTGAGTCTTGGACAGGTTTCTTTCCTGTGAAAAAGAAGATACTATGTACACTCCCTCACACCATTGTTCTAAAGATTGAACAAGATACTCTCTGTGAAGCACCCAGCACAGTGCTTGGCATATACTGGATACTCAGTAAATGTTAGCTAACCCTCTTCACCCCATTCTGGACAGATTGTTCTAGGTCTTTAGAGCCAGTCCAATCTCTGAAATTGCCTCTGAGTAGCTCAAAACATATTTCTAGCACAAAGGATTTCTGACTGGCTCAGAGTCCTTTGCCGAGTCAACACATCACTTTCAAAGTAATTCTGATCTTTTTTGGCCAATTTAAAGCATTTTCATTTTAAATTGGCATGCCTATTGCAAAAGAAGTTATGACCAGCTTAAAAACAGGTTCAAATCTGTATAAAACACTGTAGTCCATTCTATCAAGCTCATACTTGTTCAAAAAAATCTGAATGGTTCATTTTAGTTCAGAATGAAAGAATCAAACCTCAAAGAGGTTACATCTACAAAACTGTTTCTGACTGAGTTAAAGCTATTTTGGCTAAAACTAAATATATCTAATGAAAATTACTGGGGTCTGGTTTCAATAGTTCAAACTGCTTCAAAAAGTTCTGACCTGGAAGGCATGTTCTGACTGGCTCACATGAGGTTTGATTGGTTTGGAGTATATTTTACTGACTCAAATTAGTGCTGACCAGTTAAATCTCTTCAACTGGGTCATACTTGCTCTAATTTTATCAAACTGCTTATAACTAATTCATGTCATCTATAAAATTGCTTTTACTGTCTTAGACTAATTAAAAACTGGTTCCAACCAGTCCAAGTTGACTGATCAGATGTTCAAACAGTTCAAGACTAGAAATGTAAAATGATAAACAGAAACACAAAAAGCAATGGTTTAGTGCTTTAAACATATGCCGAACCAAAACACTTCAGTTTTTACTTATAATTACCTCAGTTGCAGATAGTCTATACACCCAATTTATCTCCAACACAATATAGTTTCTTTCTACACTTGAATGGTCTGTACGTGTTGGAGAACAGTGAACAGGTTGGGAGAAAGGAGTATGGGCATGATGGCAGAGAAAATGATAAACAGTAGGAAAAGGTGTGATGAATGACAGAGGCTTCCTTGGTTGACAACTCCACCATTCATTTTATCTCAGGGACCTGGCAGCAAAACATTAATCCGTGATCCAACAATAGAAGAGATTTCAAGTTAAGGAAAACCTGTAGCAAATTTGGAAGCTATGTAAAGTGTCTCCTAAATTGGTCACAATGACTAGGCTAGCCTGGGTTAACAGAGACCAGAATTCTAAAAAAGTAAGGAAGATGCAAGGAAATAAAAGGACTCAGGAAGGAAGCAGGCCTCCAAATTGGTAACAGAGATTTTTCAGGGTTTGGGTAGGGTATTGAGGGTGACAAGCTTCTTATCGGAGTTTGCAGCCAGTTAGTCAAATCCCAGAATTAGTGGAACCATTCCATCTTTCAGCAGAATATATTTCTGGTGCAGAGCAAACTATAACCCCAAACCCATCTTGCAGTCCCATATATGTGTTTCACCACTGCTTATCACCACCAGATGAAGAAAACTTAATGTTAAGTTTCAGCTGCTGGTAGGTCTTCATATAGAACCATATTCATATTAAAAATTACTTTTCTTTCTTATTTTTGTTATTCAAGTCTTGAGTGGTATTTGAGGGGCCTAGTTTCCATAAAGAAAATACTCTACTCCCCACGTATGGAAATAACATATTGTTTTTATGTTGGCATTTTAGAGCAGCAAGGGAAACACTGAAAACACACAGTGCAGAATTTGACATTTGGGACACCCAAACAACACTTTGTGCATGCTATTTGCAGTGAGGATTCCAGCCTATTGATGCTTAAGGAGCCAGTTCATGAAGGCTTTTCCCAATTGCATTATTCTTGCTAAAAAGGGGTCAGAAGCCTAGGTCAGATGCCCACACACCAAGTACTTTACAATCCTTATCACAGCCCTAAAGTCAGGTGCTACATACCATGCACACTTCGTCTCAGAAGGATCTCAGCGCCATTCTATCATGAATGCCCCAATGAGAAGACAAGTAAGTGGGTCTTGGGCAGTCTATTCACATGCTAACATGGGCTCAATTCCTACACATTGTTGAGAGAAAAGAAAGAGGTGAACAACATGGACTCTAGAACCAAATGACCTGGATGTGAATCCAGTCATTTCACTTTAGAAAATTTAATCCCTTGGGGTGTCTGGGTCGCTCAGTTGGTTAAGCGACCGACTCTTGATTTCGGCTCAGGTCCTGATCTCAGGGTCCTGAGATCGGCCCGCGTCAAAATCTGTGCTCAACTCGGAGTCGGCTTGTCCCTCTCCCTCTGCTCCTCACCTCCCATACACTTTCTCTCTCTCCCAAATAAATAAAAGCTTTTTAAAAAAATAAAAGAAAAAAATTTTAAAGAAAATATAATCCCTTTTGCCTCAGGTTCCCCCATTTTAAAAATGGGAATGATTTTTTTAAATTAATTTTTATTTTATTAATTCTAGCATGCATATGCTTTCTCATTTTAACTTCTTTATAATCGGGATGCATCTTACATTTCATAGTCTTACAACCCATGACATCTTGCAATTATTACTAAATGAGGTGGCACTGGAGATTGTTATGTGAAAACCTTGCGTTAGCATCTTCTAGCAAGATCACAAATGCACCTTCAACACGTTTTAGATTTGATGAAGCAGTAAACTTATCTCAGAGGGCTG